CACATCTTACACTGTAACCTAGGACAGTGGCCCAAGGAGGGCGGGTGCTGGCGGAAGGTGCTGATCTCAGCTGGGGTAACGCGGCGGGTGTTACTTTGTAGGCGACCCGATCCCTCCGCGAACCCTGACGGAGGCAGGCACCATGGCCCTGTGTTACAGCGCCGCCTGGGATGCCCGTGTGGTCACCAGCGCTTGGTGGGTCTCCCACAACCAGGTAAGGCCCCTCGTGCGGGAGCTCCGCGGGCAGAACGGCTGCAGGAACCGGTGCGCGACCGCAGGCCAAGCGTCTCTGTGGGAACTGAGGGACGTGGGTGAAGTTTGGTCTCCCGACGCCGTTCCTCGCGGGTTCTCCCTGGCACTGCCGCACTTCGGGGTGGAGGGGTGACCTCTGGTGTTACCTGCGCGTGGCAGAGGCTGTGCTGCAGCTTGGCTTGTTACCGACAGAGGGGAAGGGCTTCTGTTGGGAATAAAGTTTTCGTTTGTCTTCCGTTGGGCTTCTAGCCTGCGCGTTAACGGCAGTCTGGCCGTGCTTCCAGTCAGCTCGAGTGTGAGGGTGGAGAGTTTACATGAAGCTGAAGGTCCCAGTGCCTTTATTGTTCTGATTTCCTGAAGAACCCAGTTACTCAGGACTTCCAAAACGTACTGCTGGTGGTGTGTGTGATTGAGTTGAAACATCTCTTAGGAAAATACCCCGCAAAGGACAGGAAGAACCGCTCAGAAACGGGGTCCTCCTGCAGATTGGTGCCAGGAGTTACAAATGCAGCTTGCTTGAATGTTGCTTTTGTTAGTGCCGCTCTTACCCAGTGCTGGCCTTCTCTGACAGGTACTCCATAGCCTATCGTGCTTTTTTTAGGTTTCTAAAACTGCACCTACAGGAGAATACCTCACTACTGGAAGCTTCATGATCCGAGGTGAGACACGAAGGAACAATGTGAATTAGATGTCGGGCCATTTTCTCTGCAGGTGCTGTGCTGTCCTGCCCTGGCAGCCACCTGAGCCGCCCCCCTCCCCGTGGCAGCCAACAGATGCTGTGAAAATCTGTTCTGAGGGGTTTAGACTGAGGATCAGGCAGCTGTGGCAGCATTTCTAGCTGCACCCTGGGCAGAAGGTCATTAGTAAACTGCTTTTGAGTTTCTTCTGTTGTCATCCACGAGATAGAGCAAGCCCCAGTGTGATTTTTTTGGTAGCCTAAGGGCTCTCGTAAAAGTAAATCTTGAAAATACATCGTGTGATATAGCTGGTAAAACCTCCTCATGAGAATCTGCCTTTGTTTTTTTCAGGGAAGAAGAATTTTCTTCCGCCTTCGTACCTGATGATGGGCTTTAGCTTCTTGTTTAAGGTACTGCTTTCTCCGTGTGGCTCCTGCTGGCTTTTGTAATTTCTTTGAGCTGTAGGGGGCTTGCACTGATAAGCAGGAAGCAGAAAGTATTCCCAGTGACTTCTTTTCCCACTGGGACAAATCCCATAAAACACTACTCGCTGCAAATTACTCTGTTTTCCTTTCCCTTTTCCCCCAGTTTGCGCTGTCTCCGCTTCAAACAGACCCTGTGAGCATCACTGTCTGCTGGAGCTTTACCCCAGCTCCGTTGGAAGCAGATGTGGGTTTAGGGAGTCTGCTGGTTGTGCAGCGGTGCGTGTCTCCTCCCAGCTGCACTTCCTCGGTTGCCATACTGGGCTTTAAACGTGCTGGTTTAGTTTTCTTGCCTTTCGAATGGCAGAAAGTGTTCCAAGGGAGGGAATAAAGCTCTGAATGGGCCAGCGAACGTCACCGGAGCTGGTCCTGCCCTAACGTAAAGGCGCCTCTGTGGTTAGGTGGATGAAAGCTGTGTTTGGAGACACCGAGAAGAAAGGAAGATCAAAGTACAGGATGAGGATCTGGAAACGGTTTCCAGCAGTGCCAGTGAGCTGGTGTCCGAAGAAGTGGAGCTGTTAGGTACAGTGGATGTGACCGGGGTGCTGCGGGCAGGCGGGATTGTCCGGGGTTTGGCATTTAGTTCCCTGCCCTGTAGGATGGGTCAGTTTGGTGTTTGTGATGGGAGCTGTGGTTTTTTCCTCATTTGTGCGCCCCAGAAGGAGGAGAGAGCAGCAACGACGAGGAAAAAACAGAGTGTCAGGAAGCACCAGAGGATGTGGAAGCCTTGTCTGAGAGTAATCGCGACGAGGGCGATGCTGAGCTTGACCAAGGGAGAGTAAACACACCTCCTGCGCCAGAGGGTGACTCCGAAGAGGACGATGGAGAATCTGAGGATGAAGTGGAACAGTCAAAGAGCGAAGTGAAGGAGGAAGAGGTCAGTTACCCCGATACAACAATCGACCTGTCGCATCTTCAGTCTCAAAGGTAAGTGAAGAAGCAGCTGCGCCGGTCGGCCTTGTGAAGGGTCCCCAGTGCTGTTAAAACGCTGCCGAGGCGAGGGCTGTGAGGAGGGGCCGTCGCTTCCACCCACGCTCAGCCCTGCAGGCTGCCAGAGCGCAGGGCAGCAGGCCTGTACTGCGGGAGTCCTGCCCCGCTCGGACCCTTCCCTGCCCGGCTCTTCCTTGGGGGCTGCTCGCTTTGCACCCCCCATCCTGACGTGCACGTACACACGCGGGGATCTGGCTCTTTCCTCGCTGCTGCTCCCTGGTTTGGCCTGAGCACCCCGTGACAACCACACGCCGGTTTTGCTCCTCGGGGGGCCGCTCCCGTTTTCTTCTCGGAGCCAAGAAACTCGAGTCACGGGTTGTTTCTGCTCTGCCGAGCCGGTGCTGAGCTCCGGCTCCCCGTGCGGCTGCGAGGTGGTGAGCTCATCCCCCCGTTGTCCCTGGAAGTGGCACTCCTTAGGGGGCGTAAGGAGATGGGACGGAGTGGGTGGAAACGGGCAGCTCTGCAGGGAATTCCACAGCTGAGCGGGGCTGAGCGCCGGGGGTGCCTTCGGCGCGCGCCGTACCCAGGCTCTTTTTGGGCCTGGTTGGTGCGTGCGCCCGAGACAAGCTGGCAGAGGCCTGAAGGCTTGTTTTGTAAACTGAATCCCGGCGTTGCTGCCCTGTGCCCTTCACCAAAAGCTGGGGTTTTCAAGCCCAAAGCGACGCCACCAAATTAGCCGACGGCTGGGCTGTGGTGGAGGCTGCTGTGCGCCTGTTGATGAGCTCCATTTCCATCTCCCCGCAGATCCCTGCAGAAAACCGTCCCCAAAGAGGAAGAACCCAACTTGGTAAGGCTCCCAGCTCAGAGGTTTGGCAAGGAGCAGTGTGAGCTGCTGCTGGACATGGGGTGCTCTAACTGCCTTTCACTTCTTAGAGTGACAGCAAGTCCCAGGGGCGGAGGCACCTGTCTGCCAAGGAGAGGAGGTGAGGCCCGGGCGCGGCGCGTGGCTCCGTTGTCCGCCCTGCATGTCCAGCGCGGGATCCTGCCCGCGGGACGGCGGCTGCTCCTGTCCTTGGGGAGCGCTGGTGGGGGGGACAAACCGTTTTTTTGCGTGCTTCTGGGCTCGAGAGGTTTTGCTGAGGAGGGGTCACCTCCAGTGTACGTGCCTCGGGTCCCCCCGTGGCGGGGGGGTAAAGCCGCAGGGGGGCAGCA